GCAAGCCAAGCAAGACACAGTGTCATAGTAATAAATGTTTATGTTTTAAAGCTCGTATGCAAATGTACTAGCAAATGTCATAAAAGCGGACCATGCTGTAATAAATAATCCTTATCTATTTTTTTATTTGTGTCATCGGCATTATCTACTAAGGTTATTAGCCTCATGTTCGTTGTCGGCATTGTTACTGTTTCCCAGCGCCACTTTAGGAACAGCACTGTCAATGAGAACCCAACAGTGAGTGGTCGAGTGGAATCCTAATCTATTATTTGTATTTTTATTTTAAATAGTTTAGAGTTTAAAATCGATGGTTGAGTATAGTTCGCTTGGCACACAGTCATGCGTCAGTCGTATTATAAACAGGATTTGCCTGACACATTGTCAGTCGTATTATAATACGACGAATTTCATCTAGTCGGATTCTAAAATACTTGCGTATCTATTCAATTTAACAATGCGCTAGTTCAGTGTAATGTCATTTTGGTTCCACTGACATTTAATTCTAACCAAACTTTTAACAAAAACATTAATAAATTTGACATATACATTCTTACTGTTTTTAGTTTATTTCTAAATATTGTTTACATGTCATAAAAATAGTTGAAAGGTATGTAAATTGGTAACTAAACGATTGTATATTTGATGCATGTTATCTACTTACTTTAGGAATATATTTATATTAAGTGAAAGAACGATATAATTTAGGTAAACAAAACGAACAAAACGCACTCAAAAAATCTACTGTCACTTTAATTGTCAGTGGAACCACGATTACATCATCACTGAACCAGCGCATAAGACTAACAATCGACAATATAATACGCCTAAAATTACTGATTTTACCATAAGCCTGCGATATATATATTTAACCTTAATAACTGAAAAATAGTTTGACAGAATTGTCACTTATTCAAAATTGTAAAAATAATAGTAGTTGAGTGTCCAAAATATGAACTGTCATTGGTAGATTTAATTTTTTTCAGTGTTCTCACTACCTAGAATGGATATGAAATATATTCGTTCAGTTAAACGCAATAATATCCATGTGGGTCTAGAAAAAAAGACACTTATGTACCTATTGGTATTAAAATTTATGTACAACTAAAAAACACAGGATATTCATTTAAAATATTTTAATCTGTTTGTATTTTGTTAATATATTTTAAATACATTACATGTTACCTAGTGAACTGATTCTTTAGAAAAATATTTTTCCTACGACCACTTAGGAAAATGACACATATCACACTATATAGTCCTATGGAAAGTGTCCTACATCACAGGCGTGTAAATAAGAATTTACTTTCCACCCGTGTGCGAATATGCTACTTTCCGCATCAGATGTCACAAAATGACAAACGCATCATTTCTATTTTGATCTATGTAATGTCCATATTAATACTAAAATCGATATGATTGTTAAATTATTGAAATTGTTGTAAATTAGATCCTAGATATTTATCTTTAACAATTATTATTAAAATAACTAAGTTATGTTTGCCTTTTATTCTGGTTAAACACATAACCGATTAGATCATTCAATTGATGCAAGGCCTATTAGCTCAGGTGGTAGAGTATCAAACTTTATCAACTTTGCCATTTGAGACCTGGCGAGCGACCGCGTTCAAATCCTTGCGGGGACAGAATTTTTTTCTGTTTTTTTTATTTTTTTTTTGGTTTTTTTTTTTTTTTTTATTTATAAAATATGAAATATGAATAAATACGATTATTGTGGATTATTTTTTTAAATACCTTTTAATTATTATAATAATAACCTGGTTTTACATTTTTTGATGAAATTATTTTTTGGTCGTAGGAAAAATATTGTACATCACTTGTGTGAAAAGTCACTTTTCACACTCGTAATGTAATATACTATAAAATGAGTTATTTTTGTGTAGAATCGATAAATAATAGCATTTCTATTTTTGTTTCTCCACATTTTGAAATAAATTAAAATGTTAATCAAACTTTGAATGTCGGTGGGGGACTAATGAAAGTGAATCTTTTTTTTTTATTTTATTTTATAAATTAGTAAAAGTCATAAATAATTTTAAAATTAGTTGTTGTGTCTTAATAACCTAAAACAATTTTTAAATTTGTCCATATCCACTCTTGTTGCACAAACACTAATCCAATCCGTAGTAATTGTTTTTAGTTAAAAACATAATGTATAGATTAAATTTCAACGAAATGAATAAAAATATATATTTAAGTTCAGGATAGAATTTTTTTTTTGGATTTTCTTATAATAATTATTTTTTCTACTACCGTGCGTAAAGTACGTACTTTACGCACTCCACGAAGTGTGTAAAGTTGTACTTTTTTTCACTAGTGCGTAAAGTAAAACTCTTTACGCACTAGTTAAAAAAAGTAAAATTTGACAAAATATAACGTTTTATTTTATATTAACATTTTTTTGCTATCTCCTTCTAAGACAAATAAATAAATTATTTTTGCTTATATCTATTTAGTGTCCAACAAATTATCAACAGTTTATTTTAATTATAATTTTCTCTAAATGTCATCGATTTAATTAAAAGTAAACATACAGTGGATGTCGATTTTGGTAAAAGTAAGTTGGCCGTGGCTGTGTGGATTAGAAGAACTGTCAATCTCTAAACTTTTAATTAGTACCTACTTTATAACAGAACACGACAAAAGTATACTTAAGTTCAAGATTAGATTCTAAAGCCAATTTAGCATTTTTTTAAACTCAATCAAGTTTGAGAAGGTAAAAAGTTTTACTTTTTAATGTTTGTTTACTTAAATTCAAATTTTATTTGCAGTTTATTATATCTGTCATAATCGATATGGATTCAAATTTATCTAGCGATAGCGAATTTGATAATACTCCCCCAGATATCTTATGCAGTGCACAAAAGGCCACTGAAAATTTATTGCCAGAAAAATCTGCATATATTTATCAGCAAAAATACAATGCATTTATAGAATGGTGTAGGAAGAATAAAGTGACAAAATATTCGGAAAACGTTATTTTAGCATATTTCTCTGATGAATTGAAGAATTGCAAAGCTTCTACCCTATGGTCGATTAATTCTATGCTTAAAAGCACCTTAAAATATAAAAACAAAGTTGATATTTCGAAATTCAACAAGTTAATAGCGTTTCTCAAACAAAAAATAAAGGTTATAAACCAAAAAAATCCAAAATTTTTAAACGAGAAGATCTAATTAATTTTCTGTTGAAAGCTCCAGATTCCAAGTTTTTAATGATGAAAGTAAGTAAATGCCTCAGTAAATGCTTGAATGCTCAGTATAAAATTAAAATATTCTGTAAAGTTTTGCAACAAGATGTGTGTTCGTACGGTGTGTTGCCTAACAAAATCAGTTGCTGTCCTAACAGGCCACCGGGGTTGTTAGGCAGCACATTATACCTAAAACTTTTATATTTTTTACAATAGCATTTATTTGGAGTTTTACATGCGCAACGTCAAGATATTTCCTAATGTTTAATAAATTATTTGTAACATTACAATATGTTATTTTTTAGGTAGCTTTTATAATTGGAATTGCGGGAGCTTGTCGCCGGGAAGAATTATGTAAAATGACAATTAACGATGTGGAAGATAAACAAACAGTGTATATTGTCAAAGTATCAGAAACCAAAAATGGAATAGAACGCATTTTTACGATTTTAAATCCAAATAATTCTGCAGTTGAATATTTATCTTTCATAAAAAACTATACCTCATTAAGACCATCAAATATAAATTGTAACAGATTTTTTTAAAATTCGCAAATGGAAAATATTCTAAACAGCCTGTAGGGATAAATACTTTTGCTAAAAAGCCAAGTGTTATAGCAACGTATCTAAACTTGCCCAATCCAACGACTTTTACAGGACACTGCTTTAGGAGGTCTTCAGCCACTATGCTCGCAAATTCTGGAGGATACCTTCTAACGGTCAAAAAACATGGAGGATGGAAATCATCTGCTGTTGTAGAAGGCTACGTAGACAGCACAATAACACAAAAAACAAAATTTCTAATAAAATTTTGATGGATGACAGTATGCCATCCACTTCCAAACAAAGCTACAATTTTACCGTTGACAACTCAAATGAAGAATTAGTGAAACCACTCGACAGTGAAACTAGAGTTACCCAAATTATTTCAACCTCTTTACTTGAAAAGGCCAAATCCATACCACTCGAAGCTCAAAATAGGGTTACAGAAGTAATATCACAACATTTTTCAAACTCTGTGCTGCAAAAGGCCAAAACCTTAAGTTTTGGTAATTGCAATAATTACACATTCAATATTAATATCCATAAGAGTTAAAAACCTATTTTTTTTAAATATTTCTTCATTTGTTAGTCATTTTGTTCTGTAAGAATTATAAATTTGTAAAGTTCCAATAAATTTATTTTTGTTGCTGTGTACAATTTTTGGCACATTTTACTTTTTTTCACTAGTGCGTAAAGTAAAGTACTTTTTTTCACTAGTGAAAAAAAGTAACTTTTATATTTCTAATATTAGTGGATTATGTGTACGGTAGTAGAAAAAATATTGTATGCCACTCGTGTGTAAAGTCCCTTTTTTGACTCATGTGAAGTGTGAAAAGGGTAACTTTACACACTTGTTGCATAAATAACTATTATATAACGATTCTAAAAATTATTATTTGCGTAAGAATAAACATTTTAATGAATAATTCGCTTGTAAAATTTATTCATATATTTTTATATTTATGATTCTTCAAATGAACAATCTAATGACAATGTTGGTATTTACCAGATATAAAATTGCCGCTTTATTTTATTTATCAAGGAAGTCAATGCATGTCGGTAATGCGATATAATATATGAGGTGTAACGTAATTGCCTCAAATAGAAAAGTATAAAATATTCTAAATTGGTCTGATCCAAAAACTCATCCGATGCAAAAAAAATATTGGTTTTTATTAGTCAAATGAATTAAAATGTTTTGTTAAAAAAAATAAAGGATTGTATTTAATTCAATAACAACAAGAACCTACCAAATTCGCAAGTATCCATATCCACAGCTGGCAAAGTTCTCATATACTCCCTACATTGCCCATTGCCCAATTTTCCATAGCATTCTCCATGTTTCTTAGCGTTATCGCTACAACAGTCCTGACTCTTCATGTTGCCGGTACTCGCCAGATCGTGAAGCAGTAATTCAGTCCAAGCACCCAGTAAGGCAGTGACGGATTCATGTTTGGTCGCAGGATTGTTTTGTAGTGTAGCAGCGACATCTAGCGGACTGGGTAGAGAATGGGATGAGACTGATTGCTTTGGTTGTGATTTTTCTGAAATTAAACAAAATAATGATTGTATTTTGTGTTGGATCTAAAATTAAGGAAAACTGTTTCAATTTAAATATTCTACAAATGATTGATTAAAGTATATTTCTCATTTTTTCTCATTTTTTTAGACGTTTTATCTGTAACAATACCTAAATTTAAATATTACCAAACTGGATTATTGTAAAAAATTATATTCGTCGAAAATTCTTTTACTAAGTTAACAATTGTTATTTTTAAATAAAATTGGATATCCGGACGTTTATTTTAGAACAAAATTTCTTGATATTGCGTTAGTGCATAAAAGATTCGGAAGTGGTTAAGATTAAATCTTCATAACCCGGAAAAAAGATGCTTCCTTATTTATTTCATTATATTTTTATAAACTATTTTATAATAATTTTAATAATTTAATATCGAGGTATAAGATTTATATGATGACTAACCTCAGAGACACCGCAATGGCAAATCATAGGAATATAATAATTAGTATTCTTATCCATTTATTTATGCTATATTAACATGGACGTCGCCATATTTCTTTTCCAGGAGAGAAAGATACCATTTTGTCAAATCAAAATCAATTTTTTTATTAATTCAGTTTAATTAGTTATAAGTTATTGGACATAACACATAAAAAAGAATGATACAAATATTTGAAGGGTAGAGGGGAAAAAATATGAATGTCCAAAAATTCAAATTTTAAGTTATTGGCGTGAATATGCTAAAATGCTGTAAGAATCCGATAAAATATTAAACCAATCAAAATAGATGAAAGTAGCAAACCACAGCGAATCTAAATTTTACCGCATAGGGGAAAAAAGATGAACGTCCCGGCGAACTGGGGAAAAAAGATGAATGTCCATAAATATGGCAATCGTGCATTTTTTCGTTTTTATCTCAATGCTTTTTCCTACTTTATTCCGCGCTATTTTACTATTTCAGTAGTTCATTTGCCGTTTAATCGACCACCTGCTGTATGCTGTTTTTTTCTTCTCGTGCCACGTGCAATCGAAATATTTCGCAATGAGTGACGAAGACATTGAAGTTGATAGTACAGTTTTTCCTCTAAGGTCTATGAAATGGAAATCTCATGGACGTATGAATAACATTGCTAAGTTATTAAAACTACAAAGCCATGAAACAGGCCCAAGTCGTAATTGTAATAGATTTAAGTGTTTTGAAAATGTCACCGAAGGAGAGAGGTTGCAAATAATTAAACAGTGTAATGAACTTATTCAAAGAAATTTGCCAGTGTCCAATATCAGCATTAATGATGTATATTATAAACGCCAACTTTCTTTTTATTCCTTTAATATCCATGTGCTGTCTAACTCTGCTTCATATTTTTATACTTACACGAAAACTGCTGGAAAGAAGGGCTCAGATGAAGTAACATCTATGCTATTTCATTTTATTTTCAATTTCTTGGATGAACATGCCCAAGAGTTAGAAATTTTCTGCGATTCGTGTAGCGGCCAAAATAAGAATTATACCTTATTTCGTTTACTACATTTCGTTGTCCATAAGACAAAACGCTTAAAGAAAATCAAGATGACGTTTCTAGTTCGGGGACACAGCTATCTAGAATGCGACCACAACATGGGTCTAATAAACCAAAAGGCAGCAGTAGAACTATTGGCTGGATGGAATGAGCAAATTCTGAGTGCTAGAAATGCACCTGGTCCTTTCTGTGAAATTGACTGTGAAGATCAAAATATTTTTCGTTCATGGACGAAACACTTTGCAAATTACTTCTATAAAAAGTGTCCATTTGAAACAGACCAATCAAGGAACTTACAGTACATACTGGTATGCCGAGATTAATAGAATATCGTGAATCATATAAAAGAGCTTGCATGACTTTGTAGTGATACCGCCTAGAAGAAAGTCAAAAAATATTGATTTGTTACCTCCTGGCCAATTTGAAGTACCTTCTTTAAAATACAACGAAAAACTCCCTATATCTTTGAAAAAGTTTTAAGACCTGCAAGAATAGGAAATCTGGACCCTGATAATCAAGCTTATTCACAATAATTGGTCGACAAAAGTTAATTTGAAACATTTTCAGATTGTCATATTCTTACATTAAAATGATGACTTTCCTATGAATTTTTGTTTGAATAGTTTTAATAACATTCTTTTATTGCTTGGGTATCAAAGAATAAAAATATACCGCGATTTTTATAATTTTTCTTGTAGATTCACATATCATTAAGGAACACCCTGTATATAGATAATTAATATTACTCATATTTTATTGTGAAAGAACAAACATTATCTTTGGACGAAACATTACTTTTATTAATTTTGTAAAATGTGTTCATCCATTCCCTGTTAAATATCTAGTTGAATTTCAGAGATGTGGTAATTAAACATTGGTTACGTCATTAAATCAACTGTTATTACATTAATATTATTAATATTAATTATATTTTTTTGGTGGTCATATACACAGGAATTTACGATAGAATTGTGATTACTATTAGCTATTCATTGTTAAGAAATCATTACCAATGTTTATTCAAAATTATATACATTAGTAAAAATTGTAGGTCAGGATGTTGTGATTTTAATTTGATAGTTTTAAGATTAAAAATGCTTCATTTTTGAACGGGAACTCATCACTCACTTAGTTTTTGGTGATTTGATTAAAATTTGCCAGAATTTACGGTTACTTTTTAACTATTAACGATGAATATCTAGTGGATTGCCATTATACAATATGTTTTACTAAACTTAAAATGCAATCATCAGATATCAATTTGTTTTGGCCGTATACGAGGTTTGACAAACCTCGTATACGATGGCATATATAAAACTTTTTTGTCCCCTGGGGCCAATTCCAGACGTGGAGGGCCATTTCTGAGCTCGGGATCGGATTCAGCGGTCAAAAATACATGGGAATACATAAGTCCGACCGTTGTGGGGCTGTGAATTAATAGCATTTTTATTTGGTCCACATTTTGACAAAAAAAAAATAATTTTAATCAAACTAGATGAAACTAATTAAATTACGAGTATTAAAACTAAAATCAGAAGTGGCGGTGGAGGTAAAGACAGCATCTGCCTTCCAGGCGAATAGCCTGGATTCGAATTTGGGCTAGGGACTAATTTTTTTCTTGGTGTTTATTTTATTTTATAAATTAGTAAGATTCATAATTATTTTGTCTTAATAATCTAAATATTTTTTTAAATTTGTAGATTTTCGTTAATGGGTCGTAGAAAAAATATACTGTACAACTCGAGTAGATTGTCCATATCGTACTCAGACGATTGAGCACTCTGCCTACGGCGTCGTTCTCAAACTACTTCTTCGTGCGATATGGCCATCATATCCACTATTGTTGCCCAAACTACTATTTGCTACATCCACATGGATATTGGCTTATCTACGCACAGACTACAAAACGAAAAAATATGCCATTGCGTTTATATGAACGAATATATTTCATATCCATTCTACCTTGTAAGAACGCTGCAAAAAATTAAATCCACCATTCACAGTTCATATTTTGGTCACCCATATTTTTAAATTTAATATAATTCTGTTAAACTAACTGTCAGTTTATTTTTTAGTTATTTTTTAGATTAAATATACGTAAAAATGAGTTGTATAGAATCGATAAATAATAGTATTTCGTCTATATTTACAAATTAATCATAAAATTTAATAAACTATATGAAACTAATTTAATTACTTGAATAAAAATAATTTCTTGACCGAAGCAGAATTTTATATAAATAAAAATGTCCTTGGTTTATTCGGGCGTTTTTATTTTCTATTGTTTAGCACAGCACTACATATGTTTCGCAAAACTTTTCTATCTTTATTAAATTTTGACTGCACCTGAAGAAGGAAATCGAGTAAATAAAACAGAACAGGCCAAGGACGATGAAGTAAACTGCCCGTAAAGTGACGATGGTAAAGCCCCAACTTTCGGCGGGAAAATGTCATGAATCAACTGCCTAAAATAATTCAAAACAGCAACCACAATGAAAGAATGATCTAAAAGATAAATAAAAATAAATTTGACAATGACATTCGAGGAGATGCTTTAGATCTTCTCTAGGAACGTTATACGCAATAAATGTTACAACTTAAAAACTTCTTATTACATGCATGGCTACCTAACGTCATCATCACTAATCCTGACTTCATTTGACAATCCAGTCCACGCCATAAAATAACTATTTCTATCTTAATGGCATAATTAATAATTTAAAAACTTTCGGAACTGGACTAAGATCGTTTTCAATTCAAGCCAGCCGGTAAGTAGGTAGGTAGGTAACGAAATATTAATTATTATTATATTTGACGCAAACAAGGTTCTAAGACAACATCTATATCTAAGAGGTGGAATGTTCCACAAATGGTTAGTGGGTGGATACATAACATGCTCTTAAAGCGAGCAGTAAACATAAGTGTAGAAGATGTGAATATAAGAGGCTTGGTGATGTCAACAGGGAGGGGTGCTATTACCTCTACTTCGGAACAAGGTTCTCGACACCCTCATCAGCCGCCTAAATAATGACAGTCACTACTCAATAGCGTATGCACATGACCTGGTTATTCTGCAAACATGGAATTTTGAGAATATACTCTGAGAAAGAACGCAAGTATTTCTGAAAATTATAGAACAGTGGTGCAAGGGTCATTTACTGTCTATCAATCCCAAGAGACAGAAAGGGTCCTTTTCACAAGGAAAAAGGTGAAAATGGAATTAAAACTGCCATAGCTCCTAAACACAAAACTAAACTTTGCAACAGAGGTAAAGTACCTGGTCTCACCTTTGACAGCAAGTTAACATGGAGCTATGAAGACTCTTCATACATGGAACTCACATCTAGAAAACAGAGTAAAAGAAGCATACATTGCTTATGAACTATGCCGTCGAATAGTGGAACGCACCAGGGGGTCTCTCCCCAGAGTCATTGCATGGACTTACACGGCCACCATAAGACCTATGCTAATATACGGTGCAGTTGTCTGGGTACCAAAAACC